TTTTCATATGTCACTGAGAGATTAAATAGTTCGGGAAGATGTTCAAATTTTTTGGATTAATTTCTTGTACTCATGGATCGTTATGTTTTGTAAAAGTGCATATTTTACATTTTGTTAAACTCATGAGATTGTTTTTTTTTTATATGAAAATATTACTATGTTTTTTGAAAATGTTAGTCATATTTACTTTTGTATTTATTTATATATTGAATTGGGTAGTACAAATACCAGTGGGTCTTTGGTCTAATAGTACTCCTTACCTTATGAAAGTTTTGTCTTCTTGAGGTCAAGGGCTCAAGTACTCTTTCCCTCCCAAAAAAAAAAAAAGTTATAATGGATTTGTTTATATGCACAGGGTATAAACATTGGTTACCAACAATCCATAATAATTAAAAAAAAAAATTTTTTTTCTGTGGCGGCATCATTGCTGTTGTAAATCGAATTTTTTGTGACAACTTATTTACAACGGGATCTTGCTACAGTAAATACTATTTGAGACCGACCGTTGCTGTCGTAAAAGTCTTTTGTGACCACACTTATTATGACGAGACAATGCCGTCACAATGCCACTACAAAAGTATTTTTGACAGCAAATACACCTTTTATGACAGTACTTTACCATCGTAATAACTCTTTTTTCTTGTAGTGTTATAAAAATGATGTAAATAAATATAAATGTATCATCTTGATTTTATTAATTGGAAGAAAAAAAGAAACGCAAACATATTAATGTGTCCACCCAAAAATCATTTACCGACGCCATCCATGGTTTACTATCTACCCTCTGAAACTGGAGAAAATATTCAATGCAATGGTGATATATATCATGTCAGCATTGATGACATGATATCAATAATCGATAATAAAACTCCAAATAAGTAAAGTGAACTCCACTTAGATAATAGTTATTGACTTATATGGAAGAAGAGTGAACAGTTATTGGTTTACATAGACAGTAATTATTGACTTGTGTAGGGTCCGTTTTTCTAATTGTTTACATATTATTGGTTGGTTATATCATATCATCAATAATGACGTAGTATCACCATTGCGATGAATAATTTTTCAATTGAAACTGAATTTCAACTTAGTAAGATAATGTAAAGTTGTACATTTCACTACAAAAATTCAAATTTCGAGGGACAACAGGTAATACTACTCCTGGAACACATAACTATAATAGATGCTAATAGGTTTATTGCCCAAGAACCATGATATCATCCCACCAAGTCCATCAAGGAACGGACTTGTTTACATGACGTCGACCATATGGATGACCATGCTTTGCGTTGTGTGGCCAATGGCTCAAACGACCATTACTATGAGGTAAGCCAAACAAATGAGATAAACCTGTCATTGCACGAGATTGTCTAGAAATGACTCCGTCAGTAGAAGGATTTTCTGATAAGATAATCTGGTACCCATCATCGTAAGAATCCATCCCTTTTGCCATGAGTTGCCAAACCAGGGCCCCACCAACGGTTCCTCCACTTCTTGCCAAATTGTAGATGTTTGTATAAACAGAACTCATGTACCAGTCCCTCTCGTTTAAACTGTATCCTGGATCTTTACTGGACTTTCCAAATTCTGCGATTACCAAAGGTTTCTTTAGTATCGTCCTCGAGTCTTGCCAATGGCTTGACATCCATCTTTTCATAAATTCCATTTGCGCATCATCATTTTTACCAGACAACCTGTCATATAAAAAAAAATTAGTTAAAGAACGTGACTAAAGGTCCTCTTTAACACAAAAATAAAAAATAAAAAAAATTCTAAGAAAATGAATTAAATAAAAGAAAATTTAAAAATTTTAAATAAGATTCAGGACTCTAAACCCTTGAGAATTCGGATACTAATGTTCAAGTTCACTATTAAGCTAACTTGTTTAAAATCTAATCTTCTGAGATATATGATGTATGAAAATATTTGGTTTCACATATGGTAGTAAGACTACGATATCAAAGGAGCCATCACATTACAAGCAACATTAGAAATTAGTAAGGATATAGGTGGTTTACCATATGTCAGGATATGCATGAATGGTGGCAAAATCAATCTCCCCGATGAGATTGTTACTAATGAAATCTGTCCCAACTTGGTAACCAGGATTTATTTGCTTCTTTTGGGGTAGCGAATCCCCATAGAATCCTTCCATGCCTATTTCCAGCAAATGCTTGCCATCTAAAGCTTTTACATAAGTTGCCATCTCTTGAACCCAGGCCTGTAATATCAAATATATAATTAGTAAAATTTATACAACAATTGCAGTGATAGCTACGCATCAAAACCATGCTTTTAGGAGTTATGAAAGGACGATCCATACATTTCACTTCATTAATTTTACACAATGATAAGCCACTCACCATTAATTCATGAAGGGCTACTATTTATTAGTGTGTCCCCAAGCATATATAATACTAAGTGATTTACCTTTAAATGAAATTAAAAAAAAAATTATTAGAGGCGATCTCACTCGTAAAAGTATATGCTGTTGAGACTCACATTTATTGTTCTTCCAGAGTAGTCGACTTGGCAACGAGGCTCGTTCATGAGTTCCCACGCCATGATTGTTGGGTCATCTCGATAAGCAATTCCAGTTATGGTGTTGAATCTTGTTAGGACTCTCTGCAATTAATAAAATTCTTGAAAATTATGATGATTACAACTAACTTTTCCTTGCAAAGCGCCTACACACATGAACCCTAATCTATTTCATGAAAATTTAGTTTCTACCTTGACATGATTCTTGTAATACCCTTTGAGCACTGGATTTGTGTAGAAATCATCATTACTATTAATCTGTGCTCCTGCATTTCTAGCCCACTGCACATACTGTGTTCGCCCTCCAAAGTCATTGTAATTGTTCACGAAACTCAACATTAAGTGAATCCCACGTTTTCTTGCTTCCGAAATCACAAAATCCAGTGCCTAAACCATTAAAAATTCATGTCAGTAGTAAGAATATTAATATTTACACAAAAATAGTAATATGAATAACTATATTAGGGACAGTAAATTGCACTATTTAGTGACATGATTAGATATATTCATATTTTACCTGAAAAACTCGTTCATCATAAGTGCCAGGTGAATTTGCAGTGCTTTGTCACCTCCATCCGCGAAAGCCCAAGTTCGACAGACAGAAAGTCCAGCAGCAGCAGCCTCTCGGAACACTTCAGAGACTTTGTACCTTTCACTTGGGTTTGTTGCAACATTCATCATCCAGTATGAGTTGAACCCATTGAAAAGAAAAGGCGAATCATTTAGAACAAACTGGGTCCCTTTTGTTCTGACAAACCCTCTATTTGTTGGAACCCTAGCTTCACAATCAAGAACTAGGAAGAACAAAACTAAAAGGCCCCAAATGAAGATGATTCTGTTAAAAAAACCCATTCGGTCTCTCAGAACAATGATATTTTAATGGAAGAAATGAAGTGGGTAACTAAAAGGTGCTATGGGGGCTATTTATAATGAGATAAAGGTAACAGAAATTACTAAAATTAGCAAAACTAGCAGGAAATAAGTAGGTTTTCGGTGTGCTAAAATGTTGTGATGGTTGGTGCATGAAATTTAGAAGAGGTCATTAATGCTGAAATTTAGGACTGCACATGGAAAGCGTAAGGAATAAGGTAGTTAGTTGCAAATTGAAACGTCAGTTCAAGATGGGTAACTGTTGTTGATGTCTTATACGTGCTTATCCATGTGGGTAGTTTCATCATTCATTTCTTGATGACATGGAGGGTAGTTTCGTTCTTTGATAAACATTCATGCAGGTGCAACTGTAGTTATCACAACTGTCCCAGCATTGTTGATCTTTACCACAATTTGGCTTTGGGAGAAGGTGATTATTTTTTTTTTTTAATCATACAACAGTTGATTTTGATTTTTCATCTGCTCATTTTCATCTCCATTAGTCATTACAAGATTTTCTCAAGATTAATCAAGTAATAGTTATAATTAAATCATAAGGAGTAATATGATGAAAGTAGGAGTGCAACTTGGATGGGTTAGGCTAGTTCAAAGACCAACTCTTCTTAACTCAAAAGTCTCAAAACTCTCAATCTAAGTTCAAGTTGAGCTAGACTTGAACCGAACCCTTCAGCCCAAGTACTATAAATGCTTATGTTGTCAAACTACAGCTGCACTCACATTGTACAACTCAAGCTGAAATTCAAGTTCAATTCGCATTCAACCTTTGGCTTGAATACAGATTCAATTTAAATGTGATTAACCATTACATATTTTGGGCAGAAATTTGATTTCAATTCGAGTTGAATCCGAATCCATTAATTGGGGTTTTCGAAAATTCCAGAACCTAGCCCGAGAACTAGTCGGATTGAAACGAGATTTGAATTTTTTTGTTTAAACCCAATCCAAATTCTAAAAAGCGACGGTGTACTATCTTAAGAATGCAAAATGTGCATGATAAATCCAATCCATTCTTTGAACAAACACATCAAACTCAGAAGGTTTCCCCTCTTAACATATTTACAGTAAATGGTTAAATCATTGAGGTTGAGAATATGAAATAGTCACAGTATTTTCATTCACTTTGCGCTGACCACCTCAACAGAAGAGTTGTTTTGTATCAAAACTTTTATCACTTTTTTTTTTGGGGCAAAATTACCTGTCACATTCATAACCATCGAAGTATTAAGAGTTAATAGAACTCACTAATGATATAATTCAGGTTGATTTGACATAGAAAATTTAATAAAAATTTTGGTAAATTTAACTTTGTTGAAAAACCAAGTCTTTGAACTCAAACTATAATTGAAGCTCGGCTTCAAGTCCAACGAGCTTGCATTTCATGAAACTCGTTTTTGAATACCTTGATTAGCCACCGGTGCTTGACATTATGGTGGTGGCAAGCAATCTTGGTGACAATATAGGTTTAAGCTATACAATAATTTGGTTGGGGTTTTTCCATGCTCACTTGAATTAGGAGTTGATTTAACTTATGAAATAAATGTAATGGATGTTGTGAGTTGATTTATAATGTGCACATCTTTTGTTTTTTTGTTTTTTTTCAGTTTTGTATCTTTTTTAATTTCTTCTTCTTTTTTGTAGATATGTCTATTATCAATTATGAGTTCATTTAAACCAAACTTTGGTACTTAATGAATTAGGGGTTTAGATAAGGATGTCTATGGGTCGGGTTGACCCACGATTCTCATTTCCTGGCCCAAAAAAATAAGTCCGATAAACCCCTTAAGAGAGAGCTTGGGCTTTTCTTCAAACCTATTACCGAACTCGAAACTCAGCCCACCTTCCCACCCAGCCCATTTGTCCTTCCTCCCAATTGTTTGAAAAAAAATTAACCATTGAAACTTTGAAAGTTTGACGACAATACATGACTCGACTTTATTTAAATAAAATTATTCATTATTTATTTTTTGTTCATTTTAACTCTATTTTTAATTCAAAAATATAATTTACAAAATATATTTAAAAAAAAAAAACTCGTCCACTATGTGGCAAGTTGGGCTGCAGGTGTACTCCTACTTGAATATCGACTTGACTAGTTTAATAACTTACCCAGGTAAGGGCTTGAGCCTACCCTACTCAGGTACGACTCAAAAAAAAATTCATGAGTCTAGCTCAGCCCGACCTATGGACACCCCTAGGTTAAGATTTTGGATAAATTTTAGGGTTTTAAGGGGACCGGTATCTTTTTTAGAAATTATAGGGCAGAAAGTACAACTTTAAAATATAAGACAAAAAGTACACAACCCCAAACAAATCTCTAAAATACCCTCTTTAGTAGAATGAGAACCGATTCCTATATTTTTGCTTCCACAACTGAAACTTAAAGGATCTCAACTGTTACACATAAATCCCTTCAATATTGTCGAAAACTTCATTCTTCCAAAAACTTCCATAAAACCTCTTTTTGAATTTTCAAAACTTCCTATTGATCATTGCTGAAAAAAGGATCTTTTCAAAACTTCACTATCCAAATCTTTATCTTTGTCTACAACACAAAGACACCAACCAACCACAACCCAAATTTAAGAACAGAAGTTCTAGAAAATTTACCAATACTGTCGTCGATAAGTCCGACGAACTGGGAAATTTCAACGATTCAAAAATCATGAGTTTTTGGCACTTTTAGCTCTTTACTGGAGAATTGGTCGGAGGAAAAATTAGGACTTTGTTCAGATGGAGTTTCACTGTGATTAATTGGGTTTGTTGGGGGTGATTGGGGGAGGGGTTTGAGAGAGGGTTTTGTTATAATTTTGAGGATTTTGGGGCGAAGATAGTTTTTCTCTTGATAGGTTTTAATAGGAACGGAGTGAAAGTATAAGAAATTAAAAATGATTTTTTGCAAATGGAAGTGGTTGTAGCAGAAGGATGGACAAGGATGGGAGTGATTGAATTTTTTGGAAAAGAAGTTGATAATTCAAGAAAAATATTGTTTCTTTTATTTTGTCTATTTGTTTTCCCCTCAATTACCTTTCTACTTCTAGTGTTTGGTACTACATGCACACCAAGTGTTTAATCATTTGCCACAAAAAAAAAAAAAAATCAAAGAGACCATATACATTGTGATATGTATCATGTCAATATATACAGTGTGACATTGATTTGCAATAGTGTGACATTGGTTTCTAGCAGTGTGAATTTGGTTTGTAGCAGTATGACATTTTCTAGTACCAGTGTGATAATGTCTTGTAGCATTGTGATATTACCGTGCAAGGCAGCAAATCATCTTCCGAATTAGAATCATCATCTTGATTATTACGATTATCCTCATTTGAGTCATTATCATTGATATTTATCCTCACATGAACATGATTGACGTTAAAAGACCGTAACGATTTAAAAAAAAAACATATGGACGGTATTGTAGCAATGTGACATTTTTTAGTACCAATGTAACATTGTCTTGTAGCACTGTGACATTTTCGTGCAAGACAGCAAATCATTCTCTGAGTTAGAATCATCATCTTGATTATTACGATTTATTAAAAAAATAAATTATATAAATATGAAAAAGACATGAATGTTTGAATAACTTAAGTTGAATGAAAGATAAATATATGATTTAAAATTCAAAAATATTATTCCATAAATTTAGGAAACCGAATCTCTAATATAACTGTCATATTTGTCTCTCATTAATAAAAAAAAAAAGGCAATTTCGTAAGAAAAAAAATTACAATTCAACAAAAGTGTACCTCTTAACCAACACACAAAGGTACTTACACACATATGTTTTATATTGAAATATTTTTACACAAGTAAGTATAAAATGATATATTTTTTCACAATTTTTCCTAAATTTTATCCACACCACTGGACATAAATATACCGACACCCGTTTTCTTTTCTAAAATTTTATTGCATTACCTTTTAGTTCATATGTTTACTTTATTCACAACCCCCCTGTCATGAGCAGACGTTACTGACACGCTACAATATGATAATGTTGTTGTAAGGGATGAAACCCTCCACTCAGGATTTCGGTTTGACCTCCGCGCGTTCGGGAGTAGCCTTTACCCCTCTTCCTGAGCCGGAGCCCTGGCCTAGCCTAATGTGGGGAGGGCGCACCGTATCCCACATCGGAAGAGAGTCGTCTTCCCCCCTCGCATATAAGCCCTTGCACTCAAAGGAGGAGATACCCACTAGGCAGACTCTTCTGAAAAAGCCTATGATGAAGACACGTGTCCTCGGGGGTTTCTAGAACAATGTTGCTCGGGTTCAAGCACCATCGGCAAAAGCGTCCTCTCCCCCGAGGTACCTCTCATATAGGATCACATATTCGGTACATTATACAATGACATGTGTCCTCGGTCACCATGTACCTCGGGAACACACCACCCCTTGGTCCCCCGAGGTGAGCCTTTCCTCGGCGCCGAGGGTCACTCCATCCTGGACGCTTCCTCTACTCCCGGATAAAGCTACTGACAAACTGGACATCAGCCTATGCCAGTATGGACTATTCATCATGACCTCTTCTTACACAAGTAATGTCAGAACGTGCTGGAATACCGACGTAACAGCCAATAAGGGATGGACGCGTGGCAAATAATGTCACATCCGAAGCAGACAAACCGCATGCCGCTGCTGGCACGCGACTTGGGAAAGCAAACAATTAATTACACCCTTCTGTTGACGAGACCGCATTTAATGCGGTAAGGTTCGGATATGAAAGGCAATAAATGCTCCTATTACAGAGCATTTATTGCATCCTTCCCGAAAGGAGCATATTGTACCGTCGGCGTCCCGACAACTCACCATTGATTGCTCGGGACCCCGAGCAGTCAATTAGAGAAGACATTCCTCATCAAATGATTACACACGCTACCTGTGCCTGATGATCACCTACTGACCACACTGACAGCAATCATGATCTTCTAAGGTATAAATACCCCTCCCAAAAGACAAAG